GAAGAATTTGTATAGTCACTTTTTTCCAACTCAAACACCAAACTTATTATTTTCAGCGTTAACCTGATGTCCCAGTAGCCACTTTACTCCTTCCTAAGACAATAGTAACCTAATCTTGCTTTTAAGGTGTGTTTCTTTGGTTTAAACGGAATTAGAACCACTTGGCGGGCCTGCTGAAACAGATGGCTGAGCGGCTCCCAGAGGTTCTAACCCAGTAGGTCTGGGTGGGGCCCAAGAATTCGCATTTCTAACAAATCAGAGGTGATGCTGATTCTGCTGGCCCAGGACCACACTTGAACCAGAGCTTGAAGGACTCACAAGCTAGGAAGGAAAATGTCTCCACCCTCAGGCTCCAAGTATGGGGCCCGTGACCAGGTAGAGGTGGACCCGTGCATGGGTCTCAAGGCCTTTGCTGAGTGGCTTGGGGAGATACAGCTGTAGGAGGCAATGGCAGCCATCCTGAGGTCACCAGGGAGAGCCCATCCCAGACTGGAACCAACCCAGAGGAAGCAGAGCCAAGAGGCACATTCAGATAAAAGGGTTTCAGATAAAAGGGTTTCAGTCCCGGAGTCAAGTCTCCCTGGGACTTACCAGCTTTTATGATACGATACTTCCCTTTCTGCTTAAACAAGTATTGCTCAGCACTCCTGCCACTTACAACAGAGCCTGAAAACTGAGGTTGTTGGTTTTATTTGGTTTCTTTGACTGTCTGTCTGTCTGTTTTGGCTCTCCATTTTGCTCCTAAATACCAATTACCCTTACCTTTAAATTGTCTTAGCCAATTCGCCAACCAACACTCCCCTTCTCCCCCCAAAAAATTAAAAAGCCATGTCTTGGGAATGTAAACAACCTACCTACACAGAATATACAACTCCCCAAGTTAACCCATCAAGTTAATTAATTCTAATCAAATCCTGCAGAATGGCCAAGTATAAGATCGGGAACTTTCCAAAGTTCAGCAATAACAATTTAGAAAAAAAAAGGGGTAAATATTTTATTCGTAAGTAACAGAAAATGGAATTGTGATGGGATATTTATAAAGAAAACCACATCGCGTTGCAGGGGCCGGAGAAGGGAAACGTGACTCAAAGGAAAAGGATAACATGTTTCTGGCCAGAAAAACTCAAATACTGTAAAGGTGCCAGTATTCCCAAACTAACAGATTAATACAGGAAACTCTCATAAGAATCAATAAAAAACGGCTGAAAACCCCAATAAAAATGGGGAAATGGGCCAAAGGAAATGAAGACACGATTAACACAAGAAGAAAAGCAACTAGGCAATAAAGATATAAGAAATTATGAAAAGTGCTCAGCCCAATGGGGAACAGGAGAGCCACCAGGGTGTTTGTTGGGCTAAGATAATAATCCATAATAAAACCTCAAAAACCTGAGATGTTACTCACAAACTTCACTTCCAGAAACTTACCCTAAGGAAATAATCAAGAGAAGGAAAGGAAGAAATTTAAATGTGAGCAAATGTTTATTACCTGGATAGGGATTGAAAAAGGCATTTGTTGTACTTCTGTGAACAGAATTCATCCCTTAAGAAATTTTAAAAAACCACTGCCATCATCTTCTGAATGTACAAATAACCTTGTTATTTGAAACTTTCTGTAATCATCTTTTATTTAAATAATAACTAGTTGGTCTAAAATTAGGGATATAAATTATGGTACATCTATATAGTGAAATGTTATTAATATACTGGAGGCCCGGTGCATGAATTTGTGCATGGGTGGGGTCCCTTGGCCTGGCTGGCGATCCGGGCCGATCGAGGCCATCTCGCCCAGTCCCAATAGGGCTGATCAGGCTGGCGGGCTAGGAGGTGGGACCACGGGTGGTTGGCCAGCCACAGGAGGTTGGCTGTGAGAGTGCACTGACCACCAGGGACAGCTCCTGCATTAAGCCTCTGCCCCCTGGTGGTCAGTGCTTGTCATAGCTACCGGCTGGTCATCCGGTCGTCTGGTTGTAACATCATTTAGGCTTTTATATATATAGCTATTCAATGATTTAGACTTATGTATATGGACACCCACAATTAGGGGAAAAGCAGAAAATAAAATAACATGTATAGAATAGACTTTGTATTTTTTATAAATATACATGTTTAGCCCTGGCTTGTTTGGCTCAGTGGATAGAGCATCAGCCTGTGGACTGAAGGGTCCCAGGTTTGATTCTGGTCAAGGGCAGATGCCCAGGTTGTGGGCTCGATCCCCAGTAGGGGCATGCAGGAAGCAGCCAAGCAATGATTCTCATCATTGATGTTTCTCTCTCTCCCTCTCTCTCTCTCTCTCTCTCTCTCTCTCTCACTGAAATCAATAAAAATATTTTTTAAATGCATCCTCTTAAAAATATATATATATTTATACTCAGCTTTATGTATTTGCATAGAAAGGTATAAAAATATATACAAACATTAACAGTGGTTATGACTGGGTAGTGGGATTGTTGAGTCATTTCTTTTTCCTCTTTTCAGATATCTGTATTTTTTTCAGGTTTCTAAAATTATCACATATGCTTTTAATTATAAGAAAAAATAAGCAATATAAATGATAATTTTTTTAAAGGAGAAGTGACTGACATGTGTTCAAGTGCTAATGCAACAAAGCACAATAAACATATTTTTCCTTTCCTGTGATGTGTGCAATGTAACACAAAATAGGGAGCTAAGTCTTTTTGCTTTCTCCATTGAGCATCTATGGAGAGAGCAAAAAAGAAAACCAAACTATCCCTGTGACCACTACCTGCTGCCATTCATTTAATTCTTCATTCAATCATTCATTTTCTGATCCGAGGGGCCAGGCACAGTGCTAGAAAGGCTTCTGTAAAAACATCTGGGAAGGGGGTTGGATGGTGGTAAAGGGTAAAAAGGGCCAAATATATGGTGATGGAAGCTGATGTGACTTTGAGTGGATGATACGACACAATGCAATATACAGATCATGTATCATAGAAATGTGCATTTGAAACCTATATGATCCTATTAGCCAATGTCACCAGAATAAATTTAATTTAAAAATAAGTAAATAGAAACATCTGTTCAGAGGCAAAATGCATTTGCTGCGTTAGGGTGGTTTATGTTTGTCGGTTTTTCATAATTAAAATTTTCACTACCACTGCCCTGAGATTCTGCACATCCTGTATGTGACTTCTCATAGCACATCTCTGTCTCTTTCCCCACCCCCACCCACAAGTGCCCTAAATTTGGGGGTGATGAGGACCAAGGCCACAGAGTTTGGCCCATAGTACCTTTAAATCACATCGTGACATCCTATTCAAAGATGCAACTCAAAACCAGTCGTGCCAGGAATCTGTGCAGATCACTCTGAGCGCAGTAAGCCCAAGGGGAGGATGGCGCTCTTCAGATCAGTAGGGTCTGCCTTGGAGAGAATGGTTGGGGTCCCTCCAGGCTCCATCAGGAGACAGAAAACCCTAATGATCAGACTCGCCCTCCCTCTGCAGCCAGATATCTTGGCAGCTTTACGATGGCTCCATCTTGTGGTTTATTCCTTCTGTGAGAAGGACTCACCCAAGTCCATTACAGAAAGTCAAGGAAGCAGTGAACCGATGGACATGTAACAAGTAATAAATCCTGCCTGTGAATTATTGACGACTTCTCTATTATAGATTTTAATATTTTAGGCAAACCACTGGTTTCTAAAAAGCAATACAAGATCCTTTGAATATAGAAGTTGGTAGAACTTTATTTCATCCTTTTCTTACCTAGACAGGATTAAAAATTTTAAATAAAGAAATTTCCATTTTATATAAAAGAAGGTTTCCCTCCCATCCTCTCTCTCTAGAGCTAGATCAATACATACACATTATGTCTGGTAAAACCATTACTAAGTAGAGCTACAGCTCTATGGCGATAGGAATGAACACTACTAGTGTGATTTAACTAAATCCAATTATTTTTATTTGGTACTTTCTATGTGCTAACCACCATGAGCTTTATCAAAGTAAAATGGCCTCTGTTCTCCACAGCTTCCAGTCAAATGGGAGACACAGATACTGACATAAATAATTTTATTGCGAGATGAATTTGATATCTCTAATAACAAAGGAACAAACACCATGTTACAGTGGCTCTGGGCACAGGCTCCAGAGGCAGACTGCCTGCCTCGGTTGGAATTCTGGTTCTACCCATCACTCAGCTATGTGACCTTGGCAATTAACCTTCTTTACTCAGTTCCTTCGTCTGTAAAATCTACCTTGGAGGATTGTTGTGAGGATTAAGGGTGGCACAAAAGGAAGTGTTGTTCATATTGGTATAATTATTACGAGCACATAGGGTAAGGATGGACTGACTGACAAGGACCCGGGAAAGCCAACAAGAGAAACAGAATCTGCGACCAAGTTTTGGATCACAGTAAGGATTTTGGTGTGCAGTGATAGGAGAAAAGGCATTTCACAGGGAAGGATTAGCCTGAGCAAAGGCCTGGAAGTAGCGAGAAGAGGGTGAATGGCAGCTGGGTGGACTGGTGCTGTGACTACAGTTCTAGGCATCTGAACTGTGGGGGGAGCGAGGGGCAGAAGAAATGACACTGAGAGAAGGTAGGCTGACATCTGACTGGAGGAGGAGATGGATGCCAGGATAAAGAGCCTGAACATTATCCTGTAGGCAATGACAGTCTGAGAGGCAGGGTATCACAGTGAGAAAGAACATGGATTCTGGGTTTGAATCTTGGCTCTACCTCTTAAGAGCTGCGTGACCTCAGGCAAGGTACCTAACCTTTCTGTGCCTCTGTTTCCCCCCCTATAAAATGAGTGTGTTGAGGACTAACTGACTGTATACATGCAAAGAGCTTAGAACAGTGCCTGGCACACAGTGACACACATAAGTGTTTGCTCTTCAAAGGTAGAACATTGGCTTATGGCACCTCTTCCTGCCATCCTGACAGCCCTTCAGGGGCAATGACTGGGTTGAGGGTGTAAGGGGGTGAGCCGAATGCATAGTCACAATTTCTCAGACAATCCCTCAGGCAAAGAACTTACTTCCAGATCCATCCTTAACTCGAGGTCCTTCCGGCTTGGCCTCGGAAATAATGTTTGCATTGGCGTTATTCTCCATCTCGATCACAAAGTCACTGTCCTCCTCAAACTCGGGGTGGCTAAAGATCCAATCCAGGGCTCTTTCCAGGTTACTGTTCTAATAAAACAAAACATGTTTACAATGTATGCAGCCCTCAGGCCTCATTATATCCTGACCATGTGAACCAGGATGTCAAGCAGCTACGACAGGAGGCCTGAATCCATTAGTCCTAAGTGTCTTCTGAATAAGAAGCTCTGACTCCACATATGAAATGTGCTTGGTATTCTGCAAGTCTCCCAACCGAGATCAGTAACTAGACTCACTGTAAAAAATTCTGAGCAGCAGGTCAGCATTCCAAGGCCCATATCAATCTTTATTTCTGCAGGCTGATGCTGATAATGACGGGGTACAGAATGCCAAGAAGTATGGCGTGTGTTTGGGTGCAGCCCTTCCGAAGGCCACAATAACTGCACTACATTCTCTGCCAACTATATTTCCTGCAGATAACCATGCCAGGTAGAAGGCTACCAATGCGAGTACTATATTAACGCCTCCTCTCCCCAAATGTTGGCACAATGGTTGAACTGCAGTAGAGACAAAATTAATACCTTGATTAATGATGACAACACTGGTTAGTTAAGTTAAATTGTTTTAAACTGACCTCCATACAGTTCAAACCAACCAGAAAAACATGTCCATCTCCCCCTGTTTGTGATATCACTGGAGGGGTAAAGAGTTTACAAATGTAATAATCTGAACAATAAAGATTTAAAAAAAAAAATAAGACATAAGCAGGTGCCCAGAGTGAAACAAATGCTAGTTGAGAATCGTGGTGACCAGCAGCCAACCAGTCCAGACACTGAGAAGGAATCGGTAGCAGACAATCACTCATAAATGGAACATAGTGTGGCAAGGAAGGATGGGTTAAAAACAAAAAAAGTACTTTCCCCTCAATATTAAACAAAGATGTGCCCTGTGAAAGGGAAACTTCTATCTACCCTCTAGCTTTGTGGTGCCTTCTCTCCCGACAATATCAGAAGGTTCATGAATACCGGGAGAACCTTCTCTCTCTGCAGAGGGAAACAGGAGCAGAGAATTCCAAGGACCCATGCAGTCTTCACTATGAGGACTTCCGGGGACATTTCTCCAAGGTCTTAGTATCAAAAAAGCATGATTTTTCCTGAAGAACTGCCTGACTGAACACAGAATTTCATGCATCCCTCTTCGCTCTAGGACAACAAGGAAGCTGCAGGTCAAATGTCTGGCCCTCTGTTAATAAGCATTAAGATGATATGGAGTTTCTTTCAGTTTGATCATCTTGCCCCAATTATATTATCTCCCTATTTTTTTCTTATCTCCCTAGTGTTAAACTCTCTGTATGATTCCCTCATTCATTTACTTGAGCTTTATATATACTATATATGCAAATAAATCTCCGTAGGCCACAGTGGTGTATAGAGTAAGGCAAACATGACCCCAAAAGATCACAGAATATTGGAAAGTCTCAATTGCTACTGACGAAATACAAACCACTCCAATCAGAGAAGAGAATCCACCGCACAGTCTCTCGCACTTACCGTTGCTCGTAGCGCCTGAATAGCCTGATTTCGATGGAATCCCATGGAGGTGATGATAGATACAGTCTCCTCCGGAGGCTGGTTATCCAGCCCAGTAGCACCAAAAACAGAGGCTCCAGCAGAGGCTGCTCCTCCATAACCAGGCATGGTCAACGGTTCGGCAAAATCTGGGGGAAATAATCATGCTCAGAACTTTTTCTTTTTTTTTATCTTAAAATAAACAATACTTCAAAGCCAAGAAGGAAGAATACATGTAAAGTTACAATAATCAAGACAGTCAGTACTGGCATAAAGATAAACATATAGATCAACTGAACAGAATCGAGAGTCCAGAAATAAGCCCACAAATCCATGGTCAAATGATTCCCAACAAGGCTACCAAGACCATTGAATGGGGTTAAGACAATTTTCTCAACAAATGCTGCTCAGAGAATTTCATATTCACATGCAAAAGAATGAAGGCAGAACTCTACCTCACACCATATACAAAAATTAACTCAAAATGGATCACTGACCTAAATGTAAGAGCTAAAACTACAAAACTCGTAGAAGAAAACATATGAGTAAATCTGTGACCCTGGGGCAGGCAATGGTTTCTTAGAAACAACACCAAAAGCACAAGTGACAAAATAAAAAAAAAATAGGTAAATTACACCTCATCAAACTTAAAAACTTTTGTTTACAAATATACCATCAAGAGAGTGAGAAGACAACCCACAGAATGGGAGAAAATATTTCCAAATCATATATCTAAGGCACTTGTATTCAGAATACAAAAAGGACTCTCAGAACTCAACAATAAAAAGACAAATAACCTCATTAAAAATGGGCAAAGGATATTAATAGACATTTCTCCAAAGATATATAAATGACCAATAATATGAAAAGATGCTCTACATCATTAGTCGTTAGGAAAATGCAAATCAAAACTATAATGAGACACCACTTCACATCCACTGGAATGGCTACAATAAAAACAGTAATAACAAGGTTGGTGAGGATATGGAGAAATTGAAACCTTCATACATTGCTGGTGGGATATAAAATGGTGCAGCCACTGTTGAAAACAATTTTGCAGTTCCTCAAAAAGTTAAACATAGAGTCACCATATGACACAGCAACTCCACTCGAGAAATGAAAACATGCCCACACAAAATAGTTATATCCACATTATTCACAGTAGCCAAAAAGTGAAAACAACCCAAGTGGCCATCAACTGATCTATAATGATAAAAGTGTAATATGCTAATTAGACTGGATGTCCTTCTGGACAACCTTCCAGACGAAGCTGGGGCTGTGAGGGAAGCCTGGGTCCCGGGTGTCAGAGGGAAGCTGGTGACGGCAGCTGGGGGAAGGAAGGCCTACTCTTGCACAAATTTCGTGCATTGGGCCGCTAGTAAAAGGATAAATAAAATGTGGTGTGTCCATACAGTAAAATATTATTCATTCATAAGAAGAAATGAAATACTGATATATGCTACAACATAAATGAATCTTAAAAGCATTATGCTAAGTGAGGGAATCTATACACAAAAAAAATCTCATATTGTATGCTTCCATTTGTATGAAATGTCCAAAATAGGCAAATCTAGAAAATTGACTAGTGGTTGCCAAGGGCTAGGAAGAGCAGGGGAATAGAAAGTGACTGCTAAAGTGTACAGGATTTCTTTCCAGGGGACAAAAATATTCTAAAGTTAGGTAATGGTGATAGTTGTAAGTTTACTAAAAACCACTGAAGTGTACACTTTAAATAAGTGAATTATCTTAATAAAGTAGATAAAAGTAAAAGCTAAATAGGCTCCTTGTCTTCACGCCCATTTGTCTATTTCAAGTCTTCATCCTCTCCTCGGTAGAAGTATATCCCATATCTTTCCAGTGGTCTGAATTATATCTCAAGCAAGCTATTACTTAAAAATAAGAGGAAAGACAAACACTGTGACTTTATTCCACAGGCAAAGGAAACACACACACACACACACACGCACGCACACACACTGCAGCAGACTGTGAGCTAAAAAGTCATTTGGGGGACAGATCTGGAGGGTTTAGAAGGACCAAGCCTTAGTTAGCATCACTGAGTTCTGCATCAGACTCGAAAGCCATTCCATTTCCGACCACCTACCTGGCTCCTCCATGTGAACAATGATCCAGTTAAAGGCCACCTCGGCTCCCATATTTCCAGTAAAGTACACAGCCTTCCGACACGCTTCTAGAGGGAAGCCCATCTCGGCCAGCTGCATCACCGATGACTCGTCGATGTCTGAGGCTACAGAGCACAGCAGGACATTCTGGTGTAAAAAGGTAAACTACCTTCCTGTCTTAGCGTCTCTTCACCCCTTTATCCACCTGCTATCCAAAGAAAGTGCTATCTGTTAGGTGTACAAATGGTGGTTTAACTGGTTTGTTTGTTTCGTTTGAAGCCATCCAAATATTAAGCTATTTGAGTTGAGTTGACCTAAAGCAGTGGTTCTCAACCTTCTTGCCCTTTAAATATAGTTCCTCATGTTATGACCCAACCATAAAGTTATTTTCGTTGCTACTTCATAACTGTAATGTTGCTACTGTTATGAATCGTAATGTAAATATCTGATATGCAGGATGGTCTTAGGCGACCCCTGTGAAAGAGCCGTTCGACCGCCAAAGGGGTCGCGACCCACAGGTTGAGAACCGCTGACCTAAAGCTTTGCCCTCAATAGGAATCATGATAATCACCTGGTCAATCCAAGCACTGAAAACCAACTCTCTAATTTCGTATGGGGAGATTTAGTGTATTCCCAGAACCATGTCAGCCCTCAGATCATGCTCAAGACCTCTACAGCAGCCTCTCCTAGGACTGAAATTGGAAGAGAAAAGCATTATCTACAGGTCAAAAGGGCTGTTCCTACAGGTCAAAAGGGCTATAGCAGGCCCTTAGGTATATCAGCAATCAAAGGAAGTACTCAACTCTGGGAAATGGAGAGCACAAATGTTAACAATAGTTCGTCTCCAGAAAAGCTTTGTAGACAAAAATATTCAGTGTATTTAGTGCTAAACACTCCTTCTTTCTCCTAATTATTATCTAAATATTTAGTATAAATAGTGTATTTTTAATTTTTTTTTAGAAAACCAAGAATATCAGCTCCCATAGAATTAAAGGAAATAAAAGGCTATAAAATTAACACACAATCCAATGACACTAACAGCCTTGAGAGTATTAATACTACCATATCCTGCCAGATGTGTGTCTTCGTTATGTGTCCAGCATCAGGAGCAAAAAAGTGACTGGCTACTGCGCTATCATTGCAAGAAGAGGCCTCCTCATGTGGCCAGAGAAGAAAGAAATGGCATCATTAGCCCCCATTCATTCATGAGGAAACAGGCTCAGAGAAGTTAAGTAAATGATTCTAGGCCAGACAGTCATGAATGGCAGAACCCAACTTTCCAACCCAGGGCTGGTTCGCTCTCATGCTAATCGTCACTCTTGTGAGCTACAGGGACACTTAACCACCATTGTCACTGGTTTACATTTGCTACCTCGACTTGCAGACAAAGAATCATTTCCACTGAGGACAAGCTACATATACACACGCACAGAACAATGCCCTTCTACTCAACCCCCACAGATAAATGTATCAGGACAATAACCATTGTAGGGCACTGGGAAATTTTTCAAAAGATACATACGGTCTATCAGTTGGTTCATCAGGCGATCTGGAAATTAAGGAAGAGGGAATGAAATGAGACCAAACCATGGCAAGGTGTTTTAGAGAAAGACCGAACCCACCTGACCAACATAAAGTCATTACAGTAAGGAGGGGAAATACCAGGTTTCAGGCATTTAGAGCAGATAAAACATGATGCTCTGATTATCATCGTAATGAACTAAATCAGTTCTCTCCCTGTATTTCTAAAAACTCTATGTAATTACAAGCCGATGATTCTATTAAGAGCCTCAGAGAAAGCTGGAGTCGTGCTCATAAGCCATCTTGTCCTTCTGTGATATTCATACTGATCTCTTCTTTCTTGAATTCCTTTCAAGAACCACCTGTACCCATAACCCAGAATGTCCCATGTACAGGTCTCTGTACACTCTGTGCTTTCACATTTGATTCGCATTGGAGAACTATGGGACAAGATGCCTATCTGGAATCCTGTCTTGCTCCTCTTGGGTTCACCTTACCCTCCTTGTGCACTCAAATTCGGTCACTAATAACATTCACTGCTCATGTGATGAAAGGCCTTTGGTAGAGCGGCCTAGAGTGCTCTCTCACTATGAGTTATTCCACTTAATTAACTCTTTAAGAAGGTGATCAATAAACAGGTGAGCAAACAAAGCCAGAACGAAACTGGTTTCATCAGAATAAATGAGCTAATCGTGGAACCAAGATTTTTCAGCACTGTCCTCGGAACCACGAAGGTGAGGCAACTATTTTGCATGTCCTTTTCCCTTCAAAAGTGAAGCATCATGAACAATGAATGATTTATCATTCACAGAGTGAAAGAGAAACTCAAACCACTCTCTGGCTATGAAGCAGTGATGAAGCTGGGAAGGTGAGATGTGGGCCAGATGTTTAAAACCAACACACACAGTTGAATTTCCCCTTCCGGTTGTCCAAAGGTATTCCGAGAATGACACCGCTCCCCTAGACTAGGAGCCTACTGAAAACACCCTCTTTCTCCCCTACACGTCCATTTGGGGAAGTGGAGAGAAGGCAAAGCCATAGGCAACATAATCTAAAAACTTTCTGGAGATTGGCTGCCCTCTGTTGCCACAGGTTCCTTTCAACTACTTGTGATGGGTCTGTGCCTCTTCCCATGTCAATTTTAAATTGACGGTTACACCCAGGCCTCGCTTCTGTCTCTGGTGGGTTACATCAGAGGCAGACAGCCAAGGGACAGCAGAGTGGTGGGAGAGAAGTGACTATTCCAGCAGACTAGGGTAGCGGGAGGGGGAGAGAATGTCCTCCTGAAGATGATACCTTTTGAGTCATCAGGAATGACGATGGGGGGGCTGATGTCCGGAAGTTCCTCCTCTCCTGGCTGTAACCCCCTGGCTCGGAGATGGTTGATATCAAGTAGGTCTGGCATATCAATAGAAACATCTGCAAAGGGAGAGCGATTACATACCCTGGATTCTCCAAAGTCTCACAATCACCTCCTAAAATCAGCACCGCTGACTCTACATGCATGTGTCTAGGCCAGTGGTCGGCAAACTTCGGCCCCTTGAGTGTGGCTCTTCCACAAAATACCACGTGTGGGCGCGCACGTACAGTGCGATTGAAACTTCGTGGCCACACTGATGGGGCCAAAGAGCCGCATGTGGCTCGCGAGCCGTGGTTTTCAGACCACGGGTCTAGGCAGAGCTAAGGGAAGCTTTGCCATTCCCTGGAGCAATCACTGGGCCAGAAGACTCATCAAGACTGATTAGATTTTAGTGGAGATCCAGTGGAAAGTGCAGAGGGTGCCCGGATTTCACACTGAACAAGAACAAATGGAATAAGCCAGGAGTCACACACTGTCAGCCCATAGACCATTTGTAGCCCAGAAGCTTTCTGTGTGATGTTTTTAAACTTTGTTTTCAGGGGGAAAAAATTCCAACTCTTAAATCCAAGATTTTAATGTAGAAATCCAGATTTCCAGCTAATTTTGAAAACAAAACTATAGCACCTTCTCATATGGGTGCCCTCTGTGACAGCCTGTCACAGACCTCGCCACTTCCTGTTGCCCCCATGACCCTGAGCCTCATCTTTGTGCTATTCTGATTCTTACAATAGAAAAATGTATTTCTAATCCATGTCTTTATCCAAAATGGAACACCGAAGAAAGACCAAGATAGCTAGCTACATGTCTCTTACACCCATCCATTTCTTTAATGTACGTTATCACCCTGTTCTCATTAGGCATGTGAGTTTGTAACGCCTTGTTTGTGCCTTTTCTCAGATCATGATGAGTAATGTGATTTAACTAAGGTAATAAATAAAGAATGAAGTTTTAAAGAAATTAGTTGAATCTCAGATCCTGGGTACATTTTTTAGCTTCTCAGTTCAGTAGTTCTTATGTTGACTAACATACAAAATTTATCAGGCTAATATCCTGTTGAGATTTAGTATTACAGATATTCAGATATAATAATAAATGGGTTCAAATGGTGTAGGGTGTGTGTCTTGGGCTAGCAAACAGAACCTGAACATAGTATCCCCCAAACCCATTATGATGCCAGGTATATCAATCCTACTTAAAACAACCACCCCAAGAAAAAGCTTAGTTTAAAAAAAGTTTTTAATCTTAGAGGACAGAAAAACAAACATAATGTCTGACCTACAAAATCAATACAATTGTTCCTCAACAGAAAAATTCAGGTTCATTAAAAGAAAGCTTTGGAACTCCTTTAAATTGAGCAAGTCTATGAAATCTTATCTGGATTTTTGTTCCTTTCTAGGAATTCCAAGGACAAAGAAAAATAAGAACACTGTGTCCAAAACAGTTCAAAGCCTTTAGAAGTCAGTTTTTTCCCAGGTACTTCTCAAATCCACGGAGGAAAGGCTAAGTGATGAGCATCCTGCCCTCTGCCCTCCTCTCTGCCCACAAAATCATTCCACAGGAAGAGCAAAAATCTGCCAGAGAATCAGTCACAGCCCGGCATAACGTCAAACAGGTGCTGTGTGAACTGGTAGGGCTGGAGGGTTCTGGGAAATCACTCCAGCGATTTTCCATTCTTTTTACCCATTCCCTTCAGACGAGCAGACGAGTGCTTAATCAACCAGTGTAAAGCCTGAGTAGTTGTTGTTTTAAGTGCTCAAAAACATACAAAGTTTAAAACACTGGCAAACAGTCTGAGGTACTGGCTTGAAAAACCAAAGAGGATAAAACTGGACCTCCTTCTATGCCACGAAGGAGGCTTGACTTGGCGTGGTGAACACACAATACATGATACAGATGATGTATTATAGAATTGTACCCCTGAAACCTGTATAATGTCATTAACCAATGTCACCCCAATAAATTCAATAAATTCTGTAAATAAATACAGACAGTCCCCGTTCCCCAACCCTGCTCCCCCCATCACACTCCCCCATCACATTCCCCACCGCAGGCCTCCCTACCCTTCCGCCTCCGGCGCCCCACGCCCTCAGCCTCCCCTCCCCGTGCCCGGTCGCCCACCCCCTGGAAAAAAAATAAATAAATAAATAAAGTAAAAAATAAAACATAGTATTTAATGATTTAAAAAAGAAGAAATTGCCCTGGTCTGTTTGGCTCAGTGGATAGAGTGTCGGCCTACGGACTGAAGGGTCCCAGGTTCGATTCTGGTCAAGGCACATGCTTGGGTTGTGGGCTCGGTCCCCAGTGGGGGGCATGCAGGAGGCAGCCGATCAATGATTCTCTCTCATCATTGATGTTTCTATCTCTCTCTCCCTCTTCCTTCCTCTCTGAAATCAATAAAGTATTTTAAAAAAAAAAAAAAAGAAGAAATTACGAATCCCAAGCTCCACTCCAGACCTGCTGAATCAGCATCTGCATTTACCAAGATCCCCAGGTAATCTGTATGCACCGCAACCTTTGGGAAGCACTATTTATTGATTATGTGGGGGTCCTGTTTTCACTCCTAGGGTCCACTCATGCCAGACCCTATTATTCGAGGGGTGCCAATTTTACCATTGGTGCTTATCATATACTTTGATTCAAAAGAGAAAGGTGGAAATAATGGAAAAATAATGAAATGGAACTTTCCGGCAGCCAACCACTCATGGCTCTGTCACATGCCATGTTTTTTAAATGGTTAATTTGATGTTGTAAGCAAAAGCATGCACAAGATACCTACCGAATTTTTTGGGAACCCAGTCAAGACCAAAAGTGAACTTCTTTATCTGCACTACCAAGTATTCAGGGAATGAGGCAAAGCGAGATGTTCTGGGAAACACAAGGGGATTGTATCAGTGAGACAGGCAGTCAGAATTGTGAGCACAGTTCATGAAGCATCACCGTTGTCTGAGGCACCCCTGAAGTTCGCGCCTGGCCCAAGTGCAAGAACAGCAGACAGACATCAGCGAACACACTCAGCCACTCCTGCTCATTCATCCTGGCCTTTTTATGAACGGGGGAGTATGCTGTCCTTTAAGAATGACTTTGGACCCATTGCCGAATTATTACTTTTACTTTGCTGTGGCCTTTTCTATTTCTGAAAAGTGCTTTCCAACCAGTTTTCTCTAAAACCCGCGATGAAACTTAGTGTATACATTTGTAGGTCTGTGAGGACATGAATGCATTATGTGGGGGGGTTTTTTACACTCAGTATTATTTTGTATTAGTTTCAGGTGTACAGCAGGGTGGTTAGACAATCATATATTTTACAAAGTGTTCCCCCTAATACTTCAAGCACCCACCTGGCACCATACAGAGTTATTACAATATTAATGATTATATTCCCTGTGCTGTATTTTACAATCTCGTGACTGTTTTGTAACTACTAAATTGTACTTTTTAACTCTTTTACCTTTTGTATTATGTGTTTGTGTATGGGGTTTGTAAAAGCTGCCCAAGCAATCCTGACACACTCTTCTTGCCTCTGCTCCCTCCGAGAATCGCTATCCTACAGCACAAGTTGGCATTGAGGCGGGGGTGGGGGGGTGGTCTTTGAAGCTTTTGTTGAGGTTGACTGGTGGAAATGCCAGGGCCTCATTAACATACTACTGCACCTAAATCCAAGGTCACACGGATCCTAGAGGTATATATATATTATGGGTAAGAAAGGCTGAATTGCCTGGAATTGAGTTTGGCAACTTTATGCACAGACTATTCAATGTGCACACCTAATTCATACCCTGGTTCCAGCTCATTCTCTCAATATTTATCATCTTAGTTATAACAATCATTTCTATTTCAGTGTCAATGAGAAGGTGGTAGGTATATGTAAAAAATAAAATTAGCCGTAGACAGGTACCATAGCTAACATAAAAAATTTCTAGAAGAGCCTGTCTGGAAACTCCACTCTCCAAATCTAAGTCAGTGCCTTCTACCTGGACTGTATTCTCCCAGAATTCAGAAAACAAATGCAGATCACTGCTGCCCCCTAGTGCAGAAGAGAAGTCGCAGTACAGAGACAGAGCACTGTCCAAAGAGCTGAACTGTGGTGGGTCCTGAATATGCTACTTAATTCACTCCAAATCGGAGCAAATCACAGATCCTCCCTGAGGCTCCATTTTTCACATCTACAAAGTGGATTTATTAATAATATCTACCGGCTAGGACTGTGCAATGTTCATAAAATTATATGAAACCGCTTTACACACTAGAATGTACTACTATCTATACCTAGCAAATTAATATGATCATTTCGTCATGAAAGAACTAGACTCCATGAGGCCTTGGACATGACTCAATGTGTCATTGACCTGCATTTTTCCTGAGGCGAATGCAACTGCTCTTCATCTCAAATTCTCCATCACAGTTGTGGCAGAGGGGACCAGGCAATAACATAAGGAAGCTCTTCCAAAAACACTGGAGCTTAACCATCCTAAGGAATGGATCTATTATGACCCTGGCTCACTCTCCAGAAATTACATATTATCTCTAATTAAGTCTTCCTATTGCTGAGAGGCAGTAATAAACACCCTTCTAACTTAATTATAGCCAAGTCCTCAATTGCACCAAAAACCAAGAAACTCCATCTGGTATGTTCAACTAATGTAAAAATGTAACTTCTCAGGCCCCTTTCTCTTCCCACATTAGCTTCCAATCTGAAAAATATATAACAGTGAAATCAAGCAAAAGTCACCAATAAATCAACGATTTCCGAAATGTGGTTGAGGAGCCCCCGGACTCTTGTAGTTGCTCTGTGGTCCGTGTCTGGGTGAAGTATCAGTTGGTAAGTATTACCATGGACAGGGGACAGGGTTAGGGGAGCAGAGCATAATTTAACATTCTTATGAGTAACAACCCATCTAAGAGTACCAGAAAGCAATTAGATGATGTCCACATTATATTTGCCCTGTTGGGTAAATATTTTTTATTCATCTTTGTAAGCTCCACAAGTCTCACGTTGAATCACACATGTAGTAATGGTTAAATATATATAAGGAAATAAAATGAGCTAAGACATATAAAATGCTTAGAACAGTGTCTGACCTCACTACTGTGTTGTCTATTGTTGACAACCTATTACCATTATTTAAAATATATCAATTATTGACAGCCGGCATGGCTCAGTGGTTGAGCATCGATCTATGAATGGTTCAATTCCCAGTCAGGGCACATGCCCGGGTTGCAGGCTCAATCCCCGGTGTGGGGCGGGTTGCAGGCTCAATCCCCGGTGTGGGGCATGCAGAAGGCAGCTGATCAATGATTCTCTCTCATCATTGATGTTTCTCTCTCTCTTTCTCTCTCCCTCCCTTCATCTCTGAAATCACAAAAAATATATTAAAATATATATCAATTGTTCATTAATTAGAATTAAGGAGAAAATATTGTGTAAACCTTGTTAAGAAAATAAAAGCTGCCCCCTCTCCCCAAAATTAAGATTGTTTATTATATTAAAAACCTGACAACTGAAAAAAAAAGCAAAAACAATTCAAACCTTTTCGTTAAATATGGTAAAAATATGAAAATTATTCAACCACTCTCAAATTGTATAATCTAAGGCAAAAATAAAAGGGAAAGATAAAAATAACTGTAACGATAATTACAGCATACATTTACTCTGGGCCAGGCACTGTGCAAAGCACTTTACGTGGCTCATCTCACCTTAACCCTCCCCTGACCCTGTAAGGAAAGCATTATTATTATCCCCAGTTCACAGATGAGGAAACAGGGGTGTAAGGAGGTGAGTGAGGTCACTTGGCCAAAGTCACAGACCAGTAGGTTCAACACTGGGGATTCACTGCCACCTGTCCACCTAAAGTTTGTGTCCTGCAGCCCCACAGCGTGCCTGTGTCTTCATAAATGATAAAGTTCAAGCAAAAACTCTCCCTATGGGCCCTCAATCTGTGAGCTGCTTGAGGGCTAGGTCTTAGTCAACTGATTTCCTAGAACATGCTAGGTGAGTGACAGTATTTGCTGAGTGAATGAAATTTCAAACACTAATATTGTTCCCAACACTGTCTGTTCAGGACCATTTAAGGGAAGGGTTTATATCTGGTCCATACTGACCCACGATCTACCAAGATCCTTCGGACGTCATTTGCCTCTTCCTGGCCTTTCAGACCCTGGGTCTAACACAAGAAAAGTTCAAGGCCCCAAATTGACATAATAATAGTGTCTGAGTTATAGCCTATGTTGCTGGAAAAAAAATAAGATCTTTTAGGAACCCAATGAACTGGTTTCCCCAAAACTAATATTTGAAACATGATAGGGCATAATAAGGAATAAGTGAGGCGAATTAAAGATCATAAGGCTCTATGTATAAATAAGCATGATGAGGGAGATGGGGCACTATATTATACTAGAGGCCCGGTGCACGAATTCATGCATGGGTGGGGCCCCTCTGGGTGGCCTGCGGAGATAGAGCTGAAACCCGCAGTCCAACGCTGCCTGAAGCTCCTACCTGCCGCTCCCGCTCATCCCAACCCCACTGCGCCTGCTGCAGGCTCCCACCCAATCAGTCCCAATTGGGAGAAGCTCGCACTGCCGCAGCAGCACTCACCAGCTGTGAGCCCTGGGTGTGGCACCCTCCTGAGGGGAGTGGCCTACAGGATCAGGCTGAAATTGGCTCTCCAACATCCCCCAAGGGGTCCCAGATTGCAAGAGGGTGCAGGCCAAGCCAAGGGACCTCACCGGTGCACGATCAGGCCGGGAGGGACTGCAGGAGGGCTCCAGGGTGTGTCCAGCCCATCTCACTCAGTCCCGATCAGCTGGACCCCAGCAGCAAGCTAACTTACCCGTCGGAGCGTCTGCCCCCTGGTGGTCAGTGCATGTCATAGTGAGCGGTTGAGTGGCCTTAGCATATCATTAGCATATTACACTTTGATTGCTTGAACAGTTGACCGGTCACCGGATGACCAGACACTTAGCATATTAGGCTTTTATTATATAGGATAACCCGGGAAAATTAAGAGTTTAAACTTTGAACTCAATCAACCTGAATGAGTCCCCAGTCCGCCACTTACTGGCCAATTACTTCTACTTTTATTTCTTCACCCGTAAAATGAGAATAATGGTACCTACCTCATAATAGTACTAAAAAGACTATATATAACTGATGGGAAAAGCTTAGCACATGACCTGGAATGATTAATGTGCAATAAAGAAGATAGTTGCTTTATTACCCTAAAGCACTGTTTTCTCCTTCTCCACAAAGACCAGTTTTCAATTATTAACAATTGTAATACATCCAGTATTGTTTTCATGTTTATAAGAGCATGTGTATATGTAAGAGATGGAGAAAAAGGAAAAACACGTTTAATATCCACTGTTATTAGATAGGACTAGAGCAAGCAGAAACCCTCCTCAGGAGTTCTAGATAGTGATGTTAGCACTGCCTACAACAAGCATGTCAAACTCAAAGGCTAACACGGGCCAAATGAACGAGGCATACGGCCCGCGGCCCGCAAGTTTGACATGCTTGGCCTACAACTAAGTCTTAGTAGCATGTGAAGAGAAAATCAGGTCTGCAAGCGTTGTTCCTCCATTGCAGGTGGGAGAAGAACACTGGGCGCTGACTTTGGCCTGGAATAGAATATTAGCTGGGAAGTGACCACTAGCCCAGAGGTCAGAGGCTCCATGTCTGTGGAAAGCTAATGCCTTCCACGCCCATTTTAAAGGTGGGCCTTTTCCGAGTGCTCAGAGTCGCCTTCCTACAGGCCCAGAAAGTACGCCACACCCTGTGCTTCTAAGACTCGAATCCACTTTTCTGAAGAACACTCTGCAGCTCACACCTGAGCTGAGGGCTTCCTAGGCTGCCGGGCCCTGGATCACTTCCACCTCCCACACAGAGTCAGAATTAAAGCGCCAAGAGAAAAGGATCATTATTTGAGGAATCTTCAGCCTTTTGTCAATACTTAAAGTAAAAAGAAGAAAAAAATCAAGTCAACATGTTGTACACCTTAAACTTACACAATATAATATGTCAATTATATGTCAGTAAAGCTGGGGGAAATAACTAAAGATATTGTTTCTACCACTACTATATGTATAGATACCTAACTGCCCAAAGCTGTCTCCAAGTTGCAAAGCAGTGAATACCGATGTTTGACATACCAACTGTTATCTGCAAGACAGGCACATACACACACACACACACACACACACACACCCCAAAACTGAGCAATCCTAGGATGAAAACTTATGCTGCAATGGATAATTGATAACTGAATGAACTATTACTAATTCTCATTTGGATATGAAGAACGCTTTTTTAATTTTTTTTTAAATATGGCCTTTTTTAGATTTTGAAATAAATTCTTTCTGTTTTTCCATTTTTGATATATGAGGTCAGAAATCCTGAGAGATGGTTGTCACAGAGAATAAGTGACTTAGGTTTGACTGCTACTTGAGGTTGAGATAAAAACAGCCAGCAGTAGCTCTACCATATTCCACTCCCCTTTCCATCAACTAGAGCTCAAACATCTAGAATAAAAATGGCCAAAAAAATCTAAAAGTAGGGGAACTCCAGAGTGAGACTTTCAGATTTCCTCTCATTTTTGCCTCTATACCTACTTTTTCCAATTACATAACGTGTGTCAGCAAGGACTTCACTGTATAAAATTAACTAAGGTGTCAACTAAAGAAAGAAACGTTTATGTAGCCGACGAGGCTGACAATGTGGACCTAGAACACCTCCTGCCTAAGTCCCAAGCAGCTTATCTGAACACACTCAGGAGCCTCGATGGCCACTTCGAGGGGCCCTGAGACCCCTGGCCTCCAGGTAGGAAGACAATCAACCAAGTTTAAGCCAAATATCTAATCTATAACAGTGGAGTTTAAACATTAGAGACAGTCATACGTATATTTGCAATTTCATTCATATCACTCTTGTCATGGGGGAGAAGGTTCTTGGCCACACACTCTTGGCAAAAAAAAAAAAGCAAATTCTTAATAAAGGATAAACCACAACCTTGCTTTTCAAAAAAGAAAGCATTCCCTCCCTAGCACATAATATATAGAATATATGCCTGCTTTATTGCACAGGTCTCACACACAAGTGAGGTGTATAACATCCAAGGTTGTGTGAATCATAATCCTATCTCACCACACATAAGCAAGCATGCGCAGACTCATACAATACCCTACGACCTCTCCCTTACCCCTGTTCCCATTTCTCAAGGCCGTCTCCCTATCCACCACCACCAAATAAGCACACACATGTGCACGCATGCATACACACACACACACACACACACTTACTTCACACCCGCAGACTTTGCCTGTAGGGCACTGCTCCAGAAATCATCCACGTTTTCTGGTTCAGAAAAGGCCTGGAGGCAGGCACTAAATGGTATCTTGGCACGAACCAACTCAGGAAGGGGTCTTCTGTTTGCTTCTGCTTCCCTTCTCGTTAACTCATAGGCAATCAGTTCATCTGAGAAAAAGAGCAAGAAAATTAAGGTCTTTGCAATCGCTCTTATCTTCTCAAAATGGAAAACACCCCCTTTGGACAACTTTTGCGGAAGGCTCCTGGACTGGGGCAGGGTTGCTTACTTACTGCCCTTCACAGATGGGAAAAGCATGCAGAACGCTTGTTCTTGGGGTGTCTTTATAGTAGCGCTGACAGACTGCATCAAGCCATTCATATTTTTTTGCCTGTTCCCCTTTGAGACTGAAAGGAGGGAACTGTGAACTCTGGCCTAGATAAGAGGTTTAGACCATGTGTGCGATGTAAGTGATGCTCGAACCTGGTCTGGCATTTATCCAGAGGTCAAGGCTGTTTTACCCAAACGCCACCCTCCCATCACTAAGTCTTCACACAGAGAATTTCACACTGAAAAGAACCCGAGGGCTCACCTCTTCCCAGGCCCTTCTCAATGATTAGAGGTCATAGAGGGTGTGGGCCAAGGAGCAAAAGGAGCCATAAGGACCACAGTTACCCACAGCACACAGCCTGTGGTATTGACATTGCCAAGACAACTCCGGGTCAGGTTACTCAATACCTCAGACAGTAGAATAACCAACCCAGAAGGCCTTTCTACACTATCCCTGCTGAGTGGTTAAACACCAAGGAAAAAAGAAGTGAGCACACTGTGAACTTCCCAAGGTCAGCAGATCAGCTCTTGGAAAACACCTGCAAGTCAAAATGTTATGTAGATTTTGAATGGGCCTTTCTGGGACTTCCTTTTGTGTTTAAAAAAAAATCACTCCTGATTCTATTTTTAGGCATACATACTAGTATGTACTTAGGTGTTTTCTTAAACACATCTGACTGATTTTTTTTTCCAGAGAGGAAGTGAGAGGGAACGAGAGATAGAAACATCAATGATGAGAGAGAATCATTGATCAACTGCCTCCTGCACGATGGGGGATTGAGCTGCAGCCTGGGCATGTGCCCTGACCTGGAATCAAACTGTAACCTCCTGGTTCATAGGTTGACGCTCAACCACTGAGCCACTGCACCCGGGCCAGACTATGATTTTAAAATTCATCTCCCAGTCCAACATCAGTTTACAATGTACTTATATCTAGGATGTTGGCGTTTGGTGTTCTCAACGTCCAGAGGCTAAATGATCAGTCTCCTTTTTGAACAAAATAATTACCACTCACAAATTATAAACAGCGAGTCAGACAGGATCACAGAACCGAGCAGAACATGTGAGTCAGTGTCCCTGAGGTCGGCAAGAGAAAGCAACGAAGCCTAGTTCTAAAAAGGAAACAAACATATGCCCTCACCCTCATTTCTATCCTTATAAAGGATAAACTGTAAAAACGGGTCACAAGCTGCAGGAGCTTATAGAAAATGGAAACCATTTTGCCTTGAAACCGCCAGAATCATCACTTTCCAATTAGCACAATAAAGTGACCACCACCACCACCCCCCAAAAAAAGAGAAAAAAAAAGGAGTACGCATGAAGCTGTTGGACTTCACAGAAATGACCCATTCATAGAAAAGAGGCAACCTAGCACATATTTTGCCTTTTTCTGCTTCTAATAAGTTAATTCTAAGTAATATCATGTGTCTATTCTGCTTGGGGAGAACCAGATTAGACAGCCTGAAGGAACCTGCCCCTCAGACCCCAATATCTCCGCCTTCTTCCTGCCTCCAAAGCCTGGAGGCCCCTCCAATGGGCCTGGCGCCTGTAACACTTCATCATCTATAACAGATCCCAGAAAACTTGGATGCCAAAGCTGGATTATATCAAGAGACTGTATCAAAAGGCTGCTGCTTGAATGTCTCACATCAAAAAATGCAGTTCTAGAGTGTGGATTCTCGGAGGGAGAGGAGGCGGGGAGGTAATTAACCAAAGACCTTGTATGCATATGTGCATAACCCATGGACACAGACAACAGGGTGGTGAAGGCCTGGGGCGGGGGACGGAGGCAGGCTGGAGGGGGTAAATGGGGGGAAAGAAGAGGGCATGTGTAATACTTTCAACAATAAAGATTTTTTTTTAAAATGCAATTCTGATCATTTCTTTCAGACTTCATAGCACAGCTTATGAGTGATCAAACCGTTAAAGACTTTTCCACATGTATACTTACAAATACCTTCCCCAGAATGAAGCTGACTCCAAGCCAAACAGTTGGTCAAATTTATAGGCACTGAAATAAGTCCCATCCATAGCCCTCCACAAAAATCTGTGACGCATTTGATTCTCTGAAAGGCAATTACGTGGCGACCGAGGAAAAGATGGAAAGAGACATGCAAACCAGACCAACTGGGCCAGGCCTCCGCCCAGCAGAACTGCAAGGCGACTAATTCGTATGACCTCTGCTTCCAGGCTTCTCGCACCGGAAGAAGCCCACTGCTGATTTCCCCCTCTGGAGCCATTACCTTTGTTGGTTGCTGCCTCCATGGCCACAGGTAACTGCATCAGGTAATCCACCCTCTCCGTGTAGCGGACTTTTCGGGTCTGACAGCACTGAATGCGTTCTTCCACCAAAAACCGGAAAACATCACTTGGATTTTCTGAGCCAATGCGGTTCCTCTGAAGGTTAGATTACGTCAGGTTAGTGGATTTGTGAATATTAAGCCACAAATAAAAATTAGCATAAAGTCAAATATAGCTCTGATGTAAACATCCAACGAGGTTAGGACACAGTCCCTCTGGGACGTGCCATTTCACCAGAGCGCCTTAAAAGCAAAACACTGGCGTTTGTCAGAAGTCCCCAAGTGGGGGGCTGGCTTAATAAAGTATGACTCCTCCTGTGAATTAATATTAAGCAGCAATTAAAAGTCACGGGAGAGGGACTGACCTGGATGGAGTTAGAAGAAAGGGCCTGAGGGAGCCAAACTAAAGAGAAAGGGGCAACGCTGAAGGACCACCCTGGGAAAACCAAGGCCGTGTATATCATTATAACACGCATTCGTGTAAATTACATACAAATAAAAAAGAAATCCGGCTAAATTCAAATACAAATGAGATGGCAAAGCGTTCACAGCAGGTTAAGTGGAAACCGTTGCTTAGCAACAGCACGATTCTAAATGCACCTGGAAAATGCCTGTGGGTCAGACACTCAAATGTTAACACTGGGCTCTTGGGAGGGCTGGTATTACAGGTGATTTTTTATTTTGATTTTCGCCTTTGTGCCTTTCTGTATTTTCCATAAAGAACATATTTGTAATGGAGGGGAGCTATTTTTAATGGGGGGGGGGGACTTTAATCATGAATTCTTAGCGGCTTTTGAAAATCGCAGCATTTAACGTGACTCAACTCTGCTGTGAGCAAAGTTTGGCCATCTCTGAGTGGTGGCAGGAGGACAGCAACTACCACACAGGATTCTCAAGAAGCTTCGTCACCAAGGAAGGAGGAAGAATGGTGAGTGAAATAACTGACAAACACTCCTACAACACGTACAAATTCAAAGAACAGGAGGTCCACCAGCGCCTAGGAAACAGGACAGGAGGAGCTCTCCATCCAGTGGCTGGTGGAGCCTGGGCAGTGAGAGATTTAGGGAGGGGAGCGGGCACACGTCTTACCGCCCTGCTGAGCATTTCTGAAGGTGGCTTACTCACCTCTACCAGATTCACCAGGTGCAGGAAGAACTCCTGGGCATCCTGCTGTCTGTTGGAGGAGAATTCCGGATGACTCTTGCTTACAAAGGCCTTAAACATGCGTGGAGAGATCCCATTCTGCTGAGGCTACAATACATAAATAAAAGCAGTTAACAACCCTTGTATACACAGTAACAGCACTAAGGGCTGGCAGAGTGGGGATTAGCATAAACCCTCATTTGCAGATGAGAAAACGGAAGCCCACAGAAGCTCAATGAGCAGGCCCCGTGCACGGGATGTTTGGTACCTACCAGGCCCTGCACTCTGGACCTGATATGAGAACAGGACGGGACCCTTCCTGCTGAGTGCAAACTGAAGCCATGATGAATATCCCACTTTCTACTAGTAAAAGAGGAGGCACTGGGCCCATCCTCACAGGACTGGTGGCCAAACTGTCGTTCCACCCACTGCAGAGCAGGCTAGGGATGCGTTAGGGAGGAAAGCGCTGCGGCATCTTCTTCGCTCCCCATGAGGGGATATGAGAGAACCCCTGGTAGAGACTGGGGCGCCTGCCAGGAAAGGAAATGGCACTGCACCCCCTGCAGGGCTGCCCAGGGCTGTTTCTGGAGTGGAGCACAGGGAGTTGCCAGGAGCGTGCCCCTCACCTGGGGAAGCAGAGGGACCTGGCTGCAGCTGCCAGGAAGGCAGAGTGGGAGAGGGAGGGGCGGGACAACTTGGCAGGACAAGGATGTGTGAGCTTCCCCAGGGGCTGAAAGGACAGCACAGAAGGCAGCCAGGCTCCTCCAGAAAGGACACTGAGTAGGATGATGGGAGGCCAGCTGGCCAAGGAGCCACAGGGCAGGAGGCGGTGGGGGTTACAGGGTCAGCTGGACAGGGCATCAGGAAAGGTCCTCATGGAGGCCCCTGAGGGGACAGGTGGAGGCATCTCTAAAGAACGACTAATGCGCCCCACACAAAGGGCGGCCATGACAGGAGTCACAGGGAGCCAGAGGGAGCCAAGAGCACAGCTCAGCGAGAGGCCCTGCCTTTCTCCCCAGCCCTTGATCCTGGCTCTGAGAGGCCAGAGGAGGAGGCAGGAAGCACAGAGGTGGAGCAAGGACAAAAATGCCAGAGGGTCACATGAGCTCGCTCATATGTGGGATATAACGAACAACATAAACTGATGAACAAAAATAGATCCGGAGACAGAAACACTGATCAGATCGTCCAAGCTCAGAGATCAGAGGGAACGAGGGGGGGGGGGGGGGGGTTTGGTAAGAGATCAACCAAAGGACTTATATGCATGCATATTAGCATAACCAATGGACACAGACACTGGGGCGGTGGGGGCTTGTCCTGGAGGGCGGAAGTGATGGGAGGCTGGGGGAGGGGACATATGTAATACCTTAAACAATTTTTAAAAATGTCAGAGGGTGCCAGTGCTAACCCTGCTGTACGCTGGTTTCTGAGACTCCTGAACATGGTGGGGGGAGAAGCTTTAAACTGATTTTGATGCGAACTGGACCGTGTAATGCTGGTGATGTGCAGGAAATCCAGGCGATCTGCCTGAGCTGCTCTGAAGAGACAAAGTGGGGAAAGTCCACTTCGCCCTGAGGACAGAGGTGGGCTCATGAAAACGCCATTTCCTGAGTCCCCTCCAAGTTCAGCCCATCTAATAATGGGGCGACATGTCCCCTCATTCAGTACAATAACCCTACGAAGGAGGTACTACTGTTATCCCATTTTATAGCTAGGGAAACTGAGACTGGCAGAGACGTGCCAGGGAGGCCTTTCCATGCAAGTGGTCTTACAACCAGACTATTAACCAGCTAACAAAGGGCAGGACCAGGATGAACTCCCAGTTCTGGTGCAGGTCCAGGCTCTCTGTAGCAAACATGGAGTGGTAGCTGTAGCACATAGTAGGTCTCAGGGACACAAACTTCACCTTGCCCATCAAACTAAAGAATAAAGAAGTAATGCATGAGCCCTAGCCGGTTTTGCTCAGTGGATAGAGCGTCGGCCTTCGGACTAAAGGGTCCTGGGTTCGATTCTGGTCAAGGGCACATGCCTGGGTAGCGGGCTGGATCCCCAGCAGGGGGTGTGCAGGAGGCAGCCAATCAATGATTCTCTCTCATCATTGATGTTTCTATCTCTCTCTCCCTCTCCCTTCTTCTCTGAAATCAATAAAAATACATAATATTCAAAGTGATGAATAGCAAGAACCTACAACCAAGATTACTTTACCCAGCAAAGCTATCATTCAGAATTGAAGGTCAGATAAAGAGCTTCACAGATAAGAAAAAGCTAAAGGAGTTCATCATCACCAAACCAGCATTATATGAAATGCTGAAAGGTATTCTTTAAGAAGAGGAAGAAGAAGAAAAAGGTAAAGATAAAAATTATGAACAACAAATACATATCTATCAACAAGTGAATCTAAAATTCAAGTGAATAAAAAATCTGATGAACAGAATAAACTGGTGAATATAATAGAATCAGGGGCATAGAAAGGGAATGGACTGACAATTTTCGGGGGGAAAGGGGTGTGGGGGTTGCGGGAAGAGACTGGACAAAAATCGTACAAAAATGGATGAGGACAGTGGGGCGGGGGGTAAGGGCAGAGGGTGGGGTGGGAACCGGGTGGAGGGGAGCTATGGGGGGAAAAAAGAGGAACAACTGTAATAATCTGAACAATAAAGATTTAATAAAAAAAAAAGAAGTAATACATGAGCTTTCTGCAAATGTGTGGCTGTTGTCTATCCACTTCTCAAAACTACCACATGCTCAGCTTCCAGGCGACGTTCTCCTCCTCTGAAGTCCAGAGAACTTGCCATGTGGGCCATCACGGGGCACAGGGAACAAAGCCCCCCATTTCCTTCCACTTTCAGCCTGCTCTGGCCCATCTGACTCCAATCTGACAGGCAGAGGTCGTGTCCACACTTCTTTGAGATCTCCTGGACCCCCAGTCAATGCCTGGGGTGTGGAAACCATGACGGGTGTACGCAATCACACAGTCAGATGCAACAGGTGATGGAAGAACTCCCATAGCCATCGGCCAACGAGTGGGCTCTGCATATAAAATATCTCCAACGTGCATGTTCTAAGCAATGTTTCTAATAAAACTCAAGTGGGTTTCCTGTCTTGCAAAACTGTACCTGCTCTAGTCGTACAGTATTTACTGAGCACTACTTCCTGCAGAGCACTACTGGGGATTCTGCGCTCCAAGGGCTGACAGACAACACACAGATCTATAACGAATGGGAAAGAAAACTGCAGGGACCTTGAACAGCAGAAATCAGAGAATTCTGAGGACCTGGAACCTGTACTTAAATGACCAGCTCACACAGATGGCTTCGATGTGCCTCCAGTGATATGTGAAGACCAATTTATACCTGATAATTAGTTTTACTACCTGTATATGCACCTCCTAAAAACTACGTGACAGTTGTAACTTTCCTCACTCACTAGGCTGATATAGATCTCCATAGTATCAGCCAACATAAGCATGCAGAAATAATCCTTATCTTTATGCATAATGGCTAGCATTCATTCATTCAATAGAAATTTACTGAGTGCTATGAAATGTCAGACACTGTTTTAGGTACTTGGATGAATAGTTACCAGGTCCAGGCATAGTGCTGAGCACTTTGTATGTGTATCTTGCTTCATTCACCCAACTTCATAAGGTGATTAATATTAGTATTATTTTTTCCACTTGACAGGTGAGGAAACTGAGGCAAAGAGGGGTTAAGTAACTGGCCCAGGATCACAGCTAGAGAAGTCAGTCTCTCCGTCCGTCTCTCTCTCTCTCTCTCTCTCTCTCTCTCTCTCTCTCTCTCTCTCGTCCTAATACCACTTCCTGCACACAAATGACTAGTTCTCATCTCTGATGACCCACAGTCCATCTTACCAGTGGAAACAACAGCACAGTATGTATCTGACTCTGGGTAATCCCTCTTCAAGCCCACGCACCACTGGGGCCAACATCCCAGGCCATCCAGCCATTACCCCCCACGCCCAGCAGGGTGGAGGCTCCACTGTGAATGAAGCTTTCGCAGTGTGCGTTCCAGTTTGGGTGCTCCCATGAGCGTGCACTCACTGCCTGCTCCTGACGGTGTCAGCTCTCACAGGCTGTGCTTCATGCCTCATGTGGCCGCCAGTCCCCCCGAAAGCAGCTGCTTTAGAAAGTTCAACAAGTCGGTGAATTCTGAAAGGCTGCCTGCTGCTCGGTACCACCAGAGGGTCATACGGCTGGGAGGAGACCTTTCAACAGAGACCCTGGTGAGAAGTCCGGGAAACCCCAGACACTCAGCATGAACTGAGGTCCAGCCTCATTCATTCCCCTCCCACGACTCTTCTCTCTCTGTGCCCATTTCATTTCTTTTCCCTCGACTGACCTTTCTTAATCCTCTGTTCATTGGGCAAGTGGATAGCTTGAGGACTGAGAATCACTGAGGAGCTATTTGAAAAAGCTTCCTAGCCAGAGAAATTGTACCTCTCCCTCTCCATGTCACACTGCAGACCAGCTCCTGGCTCTCACCGCTGGGTTTGAGCATTTTAGCTCAAACTCAGCTAACCCACACTGACTGCCTTGATGATTCGCCAGCCCTGTCCCGCTGCACCACACCCCACACCTGTGATATCTCTGATTTCAGAAGGGAGATCTCACAGGTCCCCAGCCTCCACTATTACTGTGTTCACTTCAGAGCTTGTATATTAGAAAGTCGGTAAAAAAGTTGAGCCTGAATCTAATTGAACTTCCAGCTTATAAGAAACACAAGCTAAACAATAGCTCAAGGAAGCATTCCTTAGAGGAACCCTGGCAAGCGATCCAGCTCCTTCAACAAATCAGTAGCATGCAGGAAGAGAAGGGGGGACTTAAAAGAGATGTCTTTGATATTGCAGGGGAAAATCTAGATATGCTTCTAACACGTTAAAATTTTAACCTGATATGTATGTTTTTAAAAAAAGTATTCTAGTTATAGATGCATACTGAATATTTACAGGTGAAAGGGAGGATGCTTGGATTTTGTGTTAAAATACTTTGGGGAAAGGAGAGGAAAAAGGGGAGGAAAGAGCTAAGTTTAGGGGGGGTTGATGAAACCAGACTGGAAGACGGTGGTTTATTATCTTCACTCCCTACTTCT